CAGCGTCCGCCTCGCAGGAATGACAAATCACGGCTGGTGGATCAATCTGAGTGCAGGCGGTCCTTCCCCAAGCCCGGGCGCGGCAGCGGTGGGAACTGGAGACCCCGGGAGGCTGGGCACCTCCCCCGGCCGCTAGCTCCTTCAGAACCACTCCTTATCGAGGAAAACAGGGCAGAAGGGAGCATGAGGAGCCGAGGACCATCTTGGCCTGGAACTCTGGATGGGATGAGATGGGAAGAAACCTGCTAACCTTCTCCTGACCTCACTTCTAGCCAGTCAGAGCTGAGTCTGTGCTATGCGGAGGGGTTCAAAGGCAATGCATATGCATTTGGGGAGCTGTGGGGTCAAGGGAGGGAAACCCATTGTCATAGCTCTCTAGGATTACCAAATCCTCCAATCTGGAAGCTTCAGGTCTCCCCCGCTTCCTCTTTCCCAGTCTCCACTCTCCCCAGGCCTCTACTGCACCTGGCTCTATCCACAGGTGTGCAGGTATGTTATGATGGCCCAGAAACCCCTTGTGACTCCTGTGCCAGCCTCACACCGGCGGCCCCCAGCCAGCAGCTGCGATGGAAGCTGCCCAGCAGCGAGAGTCACCCTGGGCTGGAGTTTAATGTACTGGATTCCACATCACTGGAAGTAAACGCATGGAACTCAAGAAGCCCTAAGATGATTCTTCCCCAACTTCCCCACCAGAGTCCTAAAAACAGAGTCCAAAGAACATGGACAGGGGAAGTGAAGTGAGGGGCAATTAACAAAGGCTAGAGGGAAAACCCCTAAGTGACACATTTCACAGGTCTCCTGTTTTACCTTGAAAGTGGACTTGAGTCTTGCACACATAAGGTACAGAATATACTTAATGTTACTCATGTTCTAGAAAGCTAGGTGCATGCTGCTCTGTGGCTTTCCTGCCCGGGCACATCACTACAACTCCCCGGGGATTGGGCTGAGGCTCAAGCCTTTGGCACAGTCTCTGAGCTCCTTGGAAGGGGGATCTGGGCTCCTTGGCCAGCCTCCTGCGTGTGGAGGCAGAATGGGCCACGGCCCTGAAAACCCGCATTCATACTCACCTGCCTGGTGGGACGGTCACACATTTATTTTCTGCTCTCCAGCTTTCTGTTCACCTTTGAGGTTCCCTTAAAGCTTTTCCCACCAAGACCAGGACCGAATAGGAACTCCAAGCAACCTTGCAGTGGGTTTAAGACAGTACATTTTAAAAGCATTTAAAAACGTGATTTAGACATTAAATAACCTAAAATGTTTAAAAACATTAAAGCCCTCACCTGGACTTCTTACTAGCAGTCCCTGCTTTGTACATCTTCCTGTTAACACCTGTCACACTGAACAGGGAGGGAAAAGGAGTCACAGAAGTATCCTGGATAGGGCCAGGGTCAGAGAGTTCCAACTGTGAGCTTTAATAAAAGCATTTCACAAGTCACATTTCCCCCCCTTTCTCCTACTTCTTTCTGGGCTGGGAGTTCTGCTTCTGTATTCAGTGTTTGGGCATCTGTATACATGACAATCCGTGTGGGGCCCTACTGGTCTCAACAAAAAGTTGTCGACCCTTCACAGCAAATTTTATGCCAATGCCAATCTCACAAGAAAAGACTTCCAGTCTTCGGCGATTGGCCCACTTAAAAAAAAATCATCCATACAGCCAGATCTCTACGTAAAATATAAACGGTCTCTTGGTGTTTCCTGCCACAAGATGGGACCTGGGAGACCTGGTATAGAAGCTAAAGGGTCCTGTCATCCAACTTTTCTCATGGGTCCCCAGTGCCGGCTTGTCGGGGGTGTCTGCTCAGGGGTGCAGCTCTCCACCAGAAGGGCTGGAGGGTGGGGTGGCCTGCGGGACCATGCAGGCTCTGTGCCACCCCTGGGTGCGCGCGCATGCGGCCCGGCCAAGGTACCTCACTGCTCTCAGAAGCAAAGTTCTTGACGCGGCGCCCTCCGGCCTGTGGCTGCTCCCTATAGGGTAAGGATCAGACTGACGAAGATAAAGTTTCCCCGGGCCCAAGTTCCAAAGTCGGCTGTTTTGTTTCTGTTAAAATGCAATTGTTTTTCTCTGGAGTGTGCGGTGACTGCTCGGCGTCAGGAAGATGTATGAAAGCCTCCACTTCAATTCAGCATCCCTTTTCTCCCAGACAAACACGGTCGGATTTTAATAAATCAAAGAGCCACACTGTTTAATAAAAATTTATTGACTTACAAGTGATTATTTATCAAAAGACCATTAATAGCAGGTACTGAAATGATGTGTTACTGGGTGGTGCTGGGGAGACTAATAGGAAATCAATGCAGCTGGCCGGCCGGAATGCATATGAGAAGCCCACCCCCCCAACGGCTGGCGCAACTGCACCGGCAAAATACACCAGACGCCACCCCTGCTGCAATGAAAAGTCCCCCCTTTTTATTTATCGTTTACAAATGAAATGATCAATACTTTTAATCTAGAGCAAAATTTATTAACTTTCCCATCGGAGAGAGACATATTGACTGGGGGGAGAGGGGGTGTTAGCGCCACGGAAGATGGATGGCCGCTTGGTCGTCTCTTAGCCTGTCCAAGAGCCAGTGTGCGTGCAGCTGCCCTTCCGGCCCCCGGGTCCCAGGCCACAAGGCGTGCATGCAACGGGAGAAATCGAGTCTGGCTGCCTGAGAGGTACAGCAGGCCCAGGGGACACGCACCATGGCGGACTCGCTCTCGCTGGTGTGTCACCGACGTGGAAGCAGCAATCCCAGAGGCCACGGTGTTTTCGGGCAGTTCCCAGAAGGAACGGCGGGATCTCCAGACCCAGAACAGTTCTGCAGGACAGCAGGGCTCGAGGCTGCTGTTGGCAGGCTGCTGCCCCCAAGGGCTGGGCACGCAGGGCTCCGTGGGGCACTCCCTGCCCCCTCACCGCTAGCCTCTTCTCACCTGGGCAGGGCAGCAGCAGGGAGCCGGGGCTGACGCGGTCCAGAATCAGGTTCGAAAGCTGTTTCTACTGTTGGAAGGCCATCATCTCCAACTGCTCCATCAAGCTGAGGCTGCTGAGATCTGGCCTGGCCCATAGCCGTCTACCGAGCTTCCTCTGACAGGGGAATCCCACTAGCCTTTCAAGAAAATTCCTTCTCTAACTAGCTGAACCAAAGAGACCTCATGGTTGAGTGGAAACAGCTGAGATCCACATTCAAATCCACCCGGCCCCCCTTCACCTGAAACCTGGAAGCCCCCCCCCCCCCCTTCACACAGGGACATCCTCTGGCGGAGCGTTCGCTAGCTCTATGTTCTGGAGGAACCAAATGCATCCGAATCAGATCTGAACCAGATGACTTGGGAAATGAGAGCTAAAGTTAGAACCATGGTTTTTAAACTTACAGACATGGAAAGAGGTTTGGAGGCCATCTGGCCCAAGTCCTTAATTGTGGGTCAGGGAATGGAGAAATAAAGTCAAAATAGCAAGTGAGTAGCCGGTTTAGAAGTGGGATTAGAGGTTGGCCAGGGCTCATCCCACCAACTGATGCCGTTGGTTTTATTCCAGAACCATCCTCACTGCTGCTAGGATCCGGAGTCTTCTGTACTTGGCTTTGCTTTACATGATTCTGTGGTTGTTCCTACGTGTTGTAAGGCTTTACCACCCAAAACCTGTCCAGCTATCCCAAACCAAGCATCTGACTTAGGGGTAATGGGGGGCCTGCAGGTCCCCAATTTAAAAAGGTGGTGTAGTGTGATGAGTCTCCATACTTTCAACAAGAACCAAATAAAAATTTTAGAAATTGCTTTTCTGGTGGGGGGGGCGTAATTCACATCTCTTCTCTTTGTAAAATAGTACAATAACCCTTGCTTAGTTTCCACAAGTATTTCTTTACACAGTAGTTGATTCTAACCCAGACTCTTGCAATACTCTGCTAGGTAACTGACAGGCATATTTTTAATATTCTGTTTTTAGTTTTTTCACATTCTTTTCAGCATACCTATGAAAATCATGATGTAAACATACTAAACAACAGAGAGCTTTTTTCAAAAGAACTTTAAAAAAAAAAAAGGAACCTGAGCCTCAAAAACTGATTTTAAAGATCATTCTGGATGGTTTTTAAACACTATATTGTCTCCTCTAAAAGCTGAAAACCGCTGTTTACTCTTTGTAAAACAGTTCATAAGAGGCTGTTCCCTAACAGTCAAAACAGGGTTTTTATTGGAAAGAAAAATCATTTCTCACTGGTTAGCAACAGGCCAGGTGAGAGCAAACGGGAGGCCAGTAAGGGAGGTAAAGGAACAGGAAGCAGTCAGGGCGAGGAAGACAAAGTGCTATCAAGTCAGTGTCTCAGGAGCAGGGCTACCCTCCTGCCACAGCCCCAGGCACAGGCCCAGGGCAGCCTGGGAGAGGCGACGCTTACGGCGGCTGGTGCAAATCCTGACAGGTGTCACGGCTATGCCTTGCTGGAGCCGGGGGCAGGAGTGTGAAGGGATGGACGGATAGGTAGATGGGGGGTCGGGGGGGGCATGAAACTGGTACACCCTGAGAGCCAGAACTGGTGAGGGTTGTTTGGCTTGGGATCAGCCTTCACAGTGACTGCAGCTGGGCACAGGAGACCCAGGAAGCTCCCAGCTTTCCTCCGGCTGTGTGGAAGCCCACAGTGTCCCCTCCTGCCATCCTGTCCCCTGTCCCCTCACTAACCCTTCCAGAGCCTCTGTTCCTACCTTGCTGCTTCCCACAGTCCTTACTTACATCTAGACTGCCCTACCCTTGTCCCCAACAAATGGCACCTCTTCACACGCCTCTAATCCCAGGCACCCATCGGTGGAGACCTCCACACCTGTCTGTGCTAGAAATTCTAAGTGCGTCAGAGAGGCAAACATCTGATAGGGGGAGTAGCTTCTTCTGAACGGTACTATTCCTCATTCCAGAAGCCAAATGGATTCCCGACAGTCTCGGGGTTATGGTCAAGTCAGAGGACTGTAACTCTATGAAGCATGTTGCTTAGGGCTACTTATAGGGGAAAAGAGTGAAGGGAAAACCCCTCAATTAATTGACCATCAAAGACATTTTATTTACTCACAAAAACAAACTCAAAGCCCTTTGCAGCAGCTCTGAGTTCAGACCTTTCCTGCCACGTTTCATGGACCTATACTTGTAACACTGAGCAACTTGTCCTTCAAAGTAGCACTTCGATCCCCACAACAACCCTGTGAGGTAGGTATGACCACCTTCCCCTCCTGATCCAGGTAACAGATGGGGAAACTGAGGCACAAGTTAACAGAGAGCAAGTCACATGGGAGTTCAGGATTAGCACTGGAGTCTGAACACAAAATGACTCTTGGTTCCCACCACGCCCTAGTCACTGGTCCACCGTGCTTCCTGCCATCCCCTTTGGTGACTGCTTGTGGACAGGAGCACAGGATTTAAAACCTCATTTTGCCAAAAGCCCCCGCAGACAACAGTTTTCCTTTCACCCAGTCTGCAGAGCTCCGAGGCTCAGGGCGGTGATGTTTGGGCTGAAGCAAGTCACACTGCCTTGGCACTGCCTCTCCTCAAAAGCAGGGGGGCCTTTCCTCAGCAAAGTCCCTGGCATATGGCATCTGTGACAGACTGACACCCTAATGTCCTGAACACAGGCACGTGGCCAAGGCTTCCCAACCACTCAGCCCCACACGTGCACAGGTGGAGAGCTGACTTTAATGGCATTCCTCCAATGGACTTAGTGTAAAAGAAACAAGAAGGCATCTCGTCCTGGGCAGCAACCCCCGGCAGTGCCCACTGCAGACGGTGTGCCCAGGGATCCCTGGGGCAGTTCTGAAGCAGCTGGAGTCCTGGGATCCAGAGCGGCCTGAAGAGCCCCGGAGTTGGAAAGGATGCAGCAGTGGGGGCAGCAGGGGCAGCGGCGGCAGCAGCTCCAGCTGGCTCGAGGGTCAGGATCTGCGAGCGGTGGCTCCCGCCAGCGCAAGGCGCGGGCTCAGGACCGGCTCCTATCCTCGTGGTTCCCAACAATCATCTTGCTGTACAGCTTCTGCTGCTCCTCTTTGAACGTGTCTTTCACCTTCTCCCTCTTCAGACCACCATCCCTGATGAGAGAAAAGTCTGGTGTCACAGCAAAGAAGGCCTCCTATCCACCCTTAGATCATGGCACCACGCTGCTCAAAACCCCAGAAGAACCCTTCCGAAACAAAAGCACTCCACGGATCTCTCCCTCCTAGGGTGACCTCACATACTGACCTGGCCCTCCCCGATTTTACCACTTCTGCCTTAAATCTTTCACTCCTGCCCTGGGGTCATAAGTCAGTACTCACGTTCAGGGTACTTTGTCATTGCTCAAACCTACCTACCAAGGAGTTTACAACGCTTTCTACTCAAACGTTCACCCTCACCTTACTGAAGATAAAGGAGGCATTCTGGCATCACGGAAGGTGAGCCAGCTTTAAGAACGACTGAAACTGTAATGAATCTGTAAATCTGATCTGTGAAATGAAGTCTGTAAAATTCAGACCCAGAGATTCATGCCAACAATGAATGTAAGGGAACTGCGAGTCCTTACTTCTTCTGCGCTTGAGGGATGGTGCTGGAGAGGAATCCAAGTCACGCCCATACTCCTGTGCTCACGGCCCCGGCGAGACCTCCCTCTGCTATCCCCACATTGGGATTTGTTTCCTCAAAGTCCCACTCCTACCCGGCACCCCGACTGCTCGCCTTCACGCTAGAATTAGCATCACCTACCTTCAGTGACCAACAGAAACCCCAGTCCCTTTTCAGGATTTCTGCTACACCCGGACTTCCCCTTTGAGGTATGATGAAGCCCGCCCCCATCGCTGGACAGACCTTACACCCAACGCTCTTATATGTGCGATACCCTTTACGATCCACAGCAAAGGCTCTCTTTTAAAGGGAGCCCCACTTGTCCTCCTGGGGCCCTGCGGCCAGGGAGTGTGGACTGACACTCCAGTTTGAGCAGCCTGTCAGACCTGAGCTCAGAATCTGGTCCACTGATTACCAGGGGACTCTGGAAAACAGTCACCTGACCTCTTTGAGCTCTGGTGTCTCACATGTGAAACGGGAGTGATAATCTCCATCCCGCATGGGTCCACGGCGAGGGCCAAGGGAGGCCGTCCTCTCCGGCGCCAGCGGCACGGAGCCTGGCTCACAACGAGAGCTGGAGGAACGTGAGCTTTTTTTAAAAGGCCATACCTGAGGACATGCCATTACCTAGGAATCCCCATGTCAGTTTAAAATTTGAATCTCTATATCCTTTTCCCTAAATGCCCACTTTAGTCAAGTGCCCAACAGAGCTGACCTTTGCACTTAAAACGAAGGGTGCCGGAGGCAGCAGCTGCAACAGCGGCCACACGATACACAAAGTCTAAAATATTTACTGACTCTTCACAGAGAGAGTCTGCCAACGCCTGCTCTAGTAGGTTAACAAACTAAATGTAATAAATGAAACTTCTGCCTTTCTAAGGATGGCCCAGTTTTACCAAATATTCAAGATCAGAGGGACCAGTTAATGTAGCTTCCAGACCAGCATCCAGTCACCCCCACCTAAAGAGACAAGGACTGTCTGGGTGCCCTGGCAGATGGGTACAAACCCCGGAAGATATGAAGAATCAACTGCTTCAGGCCCAGCATTCTGGGCTCTGTGTCTCTAAGGTCAAGGCAGCATGGGGCACTTCTGAGCTGGAACTAGGAGAAAGCAGTCACACTGCTCATTCTCCAAGGCTGATGAGCTTAATTTTCCACACCAGGGAGAGGAGGATTCTTTGTAAAAGGAGTCAACAATTCAGCATCTACTTCAGAAATTCACATCCTGCTCGACTCTGCTGATAAAACCTGGCTCTGACTCACCACAGCAGGTCCACAAGCCCCCCCTGCCTGGCAATGGCGGATTTCACCCTATTGGCAAACTGGACGGCATCTTCATTGGTCTGTAAGAAAGCATAAATGAGACCCCTCAACACGGGTTGGCATCCCACAGAAGGAAGCCAAGACCTGTGCATGGTGTCAGGACGAGGACCTACCTCTCTGGTCATGGGAGGCAGGTACCAAACGCTGCAGACAATGGCCCAACTGGTCATCATTCGCAGCAGGTATGTTACCATCCCGTATTTGCTGCTGTTCCAGAAGGCATCACCAAATTGAGGGTCATACTGAAAAGCAGTGGAAAACTGGACGGTAAGAAGTCAGCAATTCTAACACAACGTGGGTGTCGACGGCAACTGGTGTTGACTGCTCATTGGGGCAGTATCAGTTCCAAAAAGCAGCTCCCAGACCCCCTCCATGAACACTTCTGAAGCCATTCTATGCTCGCGCAGTTCTGAACTCTAGCAACATGAGGCCCCCAAATGGACTCAAGATTTTGCTCTAGGTCACAAGGGAGGACTCCCCTACCTGCTTTTCTCAAACAAGTGAGCCCCCTCTTTGACCCATTTCACGTCTTCCTCACTCACAGACGTAATTCTTTTTTTTTTTTTTTTAAAGATTTTATTTATTTGACAGATGGAGATCACAAGTAGGCAGAGAGGCAGGCAGAGAGAGATGGGGAAGTAGGCTCCCTGCTGAGCAGAGAGCCCGATGCGGGGCTCCAGCCCAGGACCCTGAGATCATGACCTGAGTGGAAGGCAGAGGCTTAACCCACTGAGCCACCCAGGCGCCCACAGATGTAATTCTTAAAACATGTTCAAGCATATCCCAAACCAAAGAGAACAGGGTAAGATACTCTCATACCTCCATTCCCCAGATTTAACCTTTAGAACATTCCACCACACAGGCTTTGCCTATCGCCAACACCGCGTCGTTCGCTCATCCCTACTGCTACATGTGCCTCACCCAAAGACACCAACTTGTTTATTTCTGGTGCCCCTGACCAAGGAGAAAATGACAAAGCTTCTGAGAGGATTCTGTGACGACACCACTAACAAAGCTGACCGTGCGAGCAGGAGGCTCTGCTCTGATCGCGTCGCTGGCATTCCTCCTTGGCAAACGCGCGCACAATAGCTCCCGAGGCCTCCGCCACGCAGGTGCCGCGCTTCCCGCCAAGCAGCAGACCCACTACACTGTCCTTTGCCAGTGACTCTAATGGAAGCAGAGGCTGCACGTCAGTGGCATTCTGTGGGAAATGTGGCTGAAGCTGTGACCTGCAGTTTCACCCAACAGAAGAGAAGCTGAAGCAGCAGGTAAGCAAGGCGGGGCGAAAGGTGCCGGAGGAAGTTATACAAGAAGCGACAAAAGGAACGGAGTCCTGGAAGAGAACACCTGGACGGAGTGTCCTGCAACCGCCAGCAAACGTCCGAGGCGCCACCACAGACACGACCTCAGGCTGTGACTGTAATGCAAAGAGGAGGACCAGAGTGTGGAAACGGGAAGAGAAGAACGGCAAGAGTGATGGTGCAGAAGCAGGCTGCCGCTGGCGTCAGAAAGGCTCACAGGCTTGGTGAGCCTCTCAGGCTGCCCCTCTCCCCCAGGAGCAGCCTGAGAGGAGCCCCAGCGGGGACGCTGCGGGAGCCCCACGTGAGGGGTCGGGGCTGGGCGCGAACCACAGGCCTTGTAGGCTCCTCAAGCCTAGATTTTATGATTCTCGAACAGAGACTGGATAATTGTGCCTAGCCGTGGACCTGACTACGCAGGAGAGAGGACATTTAGACTGAATTACGGACTAAATGAAGAAATTTAGATTCAACTATTACATTATAATAGCAAAGGGAAATCGGGGAGAAGAATGAGTTTTAAATAGAAACTAATGCCCATGTTTTGAAGAAAGTGGTGTTATCTTTGATAAAGCACTGTATGTATAAAATAGCTGACATCCTACGTGAGAGCCCTTTGTTTAGAGTGGAATCTCTGTTCCACGCTGGGCTGATAGTGTAGAGAGAAAAATGAGGCAAAAACTCAAAATCGTGATAAATTTCTCAAAATCAAATAATGGCTTAATTTCGGTGGAAATATAACAGCCCTGAAACTGCTAAGGTTATCTAAATTTGGTTACCAATGAAGGCTTTATAAAAACTAGCAAAGTTGTTGTAGAGAAGTTCTTAATCCTGAATGGGTTTTAATAAATCTGGACAGAATGAAATTATATGTAAAACTAATGGGACTTTCTGTTTGGAGAGGAGCCATAACTGTCCTAAGAGTCCATGTCTCAAAACTGTTTAAGACCCACTGCTCCACAGCAGGGCTCCCCAAGTGTGGTTCCCACCGGCCCATCCGTAGCACCCAGGAACGGGTCAGAAACTCAAGTTCAGAAACAGCCAGCAGTCTGCGTTTTCCTAGTCCCGCCACAGGTGACACTGATACAGCTACAAAGAACTGATGTTCTGGAGTGAACACTAAGGAAGGGCTCTTCTCGTTATGTTTTTAATGCACATGGACGGGGAGCACTGGATACTGAATGCAGGATGGGATGCAGGTGACACGGACAGCAGTCCCCAGGCTCTCCTCCCCCAGCAGACATTGCTACCACACTGCTTGCTTTCTTGCTGTTCCGGTAGACAGCACCCTCGACAGGTGGCTTGGGGAGTGCGAACCATGGATCAGTCAGTTCTCCTCCAGCCACTATGCACCTGGCACTCCTGCCCCAGTGCTCTGCCTCCCTGGTAGAGGGGAGTGCTGGGTGGGAAGCACTGGCTTTCCCAAGAGAAACACCCTGCCTCCCCTGCACTGGCTGAGCTAAGTGACGCTGATTCAACAGAAAGCTCTGCACATGGCACGCAGACCCCGTGAGAGGATGGACACTAAATGCTAAGTATAACGAGCACACACGTCCTTGCTGTTCTACCTAGCTGCGATTTCAGCTTAAGCACTAAACACACCGACAACAGCCTGTGCTGTGTAGACGTAATAACGTGAGTAATAACATTCTTTTAGCAACAGCATGATGTATGCCTTCATAAAACCAGATGGATGTAAAGGTGGAGAGAGGAAGAAAAGAGGAAAATGATTGACTGAATCCCATCTTCCCAGTGAGTTTGAAGTACAAGCTCCTAAAGTGGGGGACAGCCTAGACAAGCTCTTAAGATGTATTTCATCTTTATCAGTGGCTCCTGGTATTTACAGTGATACCAAAGCCCAAAGCTGTGCGGCTGCTTCTTCCTTCAGTATTAGGACATATCCGCAGCCACACATGCTCACCTCTCCACCAAACGTACACATCCAGTGGGGCCACACCCCTGCTCCCCGCAGCATGCCCCTCTGTAGTGGAGTACCTTCCCCACCTGGGAGGCTTACGGAGAGGTCGTAAGTGGGGGACAACATGCAAGCTTGTGATCTGGTTGATGGTCCTCATTCGGACACTCCTGTCCCTTCTAGCCCAGCGGGTTCTGAACCGTGAACATGTCCCTTCTCTTCCTCTAGCACACTCTACCCACACTATCCTGGCCCAAGCTGCCCCACTGGAGGATCAACCCGCTGACTGGTGACGCCACCTTCTTCCTCCCCTTTCTCTTCCTGCGTCCCATTCACAGCAGCTGCGACAATGACCACATGCGCCCTCAGAGGTCTCGTACCTTGATAGCAACAGGGTAAACTGTGGCTCCAATTTCAAAACTTCCCTTTTTGAACATCATCACTGATGTATTATTGATGCAGGTTCCTAAAACACAGAAGAGAGTAAAATGCGATTTCTTTTGGTCCTTCACCTCAGAGATTAGGAGTTTAAGAACTAAATATAGTAAGAAAAATTCTTCAAATAGGATAATCTCCCTATCTTAGGAATGAACACTTAACAGGGATAAGCAAAACACTGTACTGTTTCTCATTCTGCTATTGCAAGATCACTTTTCCCAATTAACACACCCAGCCTCAATAAAAGGCCAGAGCCACTGAGTGGACCTGGGAAGTCTCAGGAAGAACTCTATAAGAAGCTGAGACCCCGCTGGCATATCACAGAAGGGATTCCTGTACTGGGAAGGTCGCACTTTGGCACTCCCAGTCCAAATGCTGCACTTCCCAGAGTTTTTAAGTCTCACAACCAGTTTAGTGGGGGACAGTGAAAACAGATAACCCCAGCCAGGGTTGAGGGAGTTGGTTCTGAGGCAACAGCACAGTCACCATCCTGCATGGCCTCCCCACCCTCCCATACAGAAACCCTCTGCAGGGCCCCACCCCTTCTTACCCTCTGGAAAGATGAGGATGGGTAGCTTGCTTTTATCCTGCACATGCTCAGTCAGTCTTTGGAAGGGAAAAAGAACACAGAGGCTCAGACAGCGTTACATCCATCATCACCAAAATGTACTTGTAAATATGCTACATGGATGTCACACAAACCACAAATGTGATGATCTCTGACAAACCCCAGTCTGGATCTCATAAAGACCAAACATATAAAGACAGGGAAAATCAGATGACTGCAGTTTAACTCGTACAGCTGTTCAGTGAAGTATTAAGGTCTATGTAGAGGACACTGCTCAGACCTGGGACAACCTAAAGGACATGCCTGCTCCAGGGCCTTGCTAACAGCACTCTCAAGAAGCACTTGTCACTGGACTTCCAGACAGCCACGTTGGATTGAACGTGCAGTCCACCTGGCTTAATACCGTCCCTGAGAAAAGCAGTAAAGGGAATCCGGGGCAGGCTCATCTGTCCCTGAAGAAGATGGTCCCAACTGAGCCTTCATTCCTCTCAGTTTCCTGCAAAGCTCTTGCCATTATGTACATCAGCTCTACCTTTTTCCCGCTGCCTTAAGTTTGTTTCTATTTGTGATAATGAATTCATCCCGAGATTTCAAATAGCATTAAAAGTTCATATGTGGTTCATTACAATGAGTACAAGGAATAAAAAAGGTTAAGAGAGATTACAAACTTGACAAATAATACCAAGATTTCTATACCTCTTCTATTCCATATTTTAGGGAAAGTGTTTTATTATGAAAGCAGTGAGGACTCAGTGTAGAAGACCCTATGATTCTACTGCGGAGGGATAACAACCCCTAAAGCACATACATCCTAACTGATCACAGAGAGCAACCGGCATTTTGTGGATTTACCTCTTAGCCACCAGGTGGCGATCTTTCACTTCAGAGCGTTCAAACCAGACGTGTGGGCAGGCCTTCACCATGGCTCTCTGGATCACACCCATGAGTCCCCCGTGCACTTGACCCACCTGATTTCACACAAAGGAATAACCGGGAGTGAAGCCACCCTCACACACAATCCCCACTATGTGGAGACAGCCCCAGATCCCAAAAGGAAAGTATCCCAACCTCTAACCCTCTAACATTTTACTGACAAGAGTAAAGTTTCTCACTGTTAAGAAACCATTATTAGATTCTGAATCTTTAATTTTGCCTTTTATTCAGTGATATCAAAGATACATCATTAAAAACATAGCTGAAAACCCGAAAAGAAATAATGAAGCTGAGTAATACCTCGTGTAAAAGTGCTTTTCCTGGGCAGATTCTCTAATGCCCTTGAACCCAGTCCTTTCAAATCCCCCTTCCCTGTCCTTCACCCCTTTCTATGGTCTGCTCAATACCCAAAGGATAACCTCCAAACGCGCTCTTCGTTATCAACCTACTCAGAAGACCTCCTATCAAAGTCCCACGGAGTTCTCAAAGCAACAGAAACAGAGGCGACAGTCTTACATGTCCCATGTTTATATTCTTCAGGAAGAGCTCTCTGAAGGGTCCAGAAACATCCCAGCCCTGAGCATGCTAAAGGTCTTACTTGCCCAAGAAAGCAACAGAGAAAGGTCTTACCATGGCATAATAGCCATCGCTGGCCAAAATGATGACATCGATTGGAGAGGTGTGATTGGCCACGCAGATGCCACCGTTTCTGGGCCTGTTTTCTCTGTGTTTACAAAGAATGCAAAGCAATAAAATCCATGTGAAACAAGTGATCTGGAACTCAGCCCTTACTTCACCCACCTCATGGGCTACAGGAGCTCAGAAGAGCCCTCACTGGCAAGGTGCAGGTGAGCCGTGGTTGGCCAGAGCCAGTTCCCCATGTCACACAAGGTGCCCTCACCTGTCGTGGTAAGTAATGATGGCTGTCAGGGCTCGCACGCAGATCCGGTAACACATTAAGTGAACATGTTTACTCAGGAACTCCTTAAACCTGGTACGACAGGACACAGATTTTTTTTTTACTTTACACATAGGAAGTCGAGAGAAGTTACCGGCTGGAACGATGTAACCATCCCTGCCTACAGCCCTTTAGGACTGCAGGCTATTTTTATAAACATTAGTGCATATGGTAAAACTCTACAGTGCACAAGTGTCTTTATGCCTACATATGAGGAAACAGAGAAATGACAAGAATTGCTTCAATTTACCAAAGTGACTGGGTTTAGAATTTATATAGCCCTCAAATATCCAGCAAATATGAGCCTCCTTGATTGTTTTCCTTCCAGTCAATGCCTACAGGCAGGGCAAAGGACAGAGTCTCTAACCTCACCAGCCCGGGGAAGAAGAGAGCTAGCCCCAGAACTTCCAGAAGAACAAATTTCTCTTAAAAAACAACAACAGGGCTCCTGCGTAGCTCAGTGGGCTAAGCCACTGCCTTCGGCTCAGGTCATGATCTCAGGGTCCTGGGATTGAGTCCCGCATCGGGCTCTCTGGTCAACGGGGAGCCTGCTTCCGTCTCTCTCTCTCTCTCTCTCTGCGTGCCTCTCTGCCTACTTGTGGTCTCTGTCAAATAAATAATAAAATCTTAAACAACAACAACAACAACAAGGGGCACCTGGGTGGCTCAGTGGGTTAAGCCTCTGCCTTTGGCCCAGGTCATGATCTCGGGTCCTGGAATCAAGCCCCGCATCGGGTTCTCTGCTCAGCAGGGAACCTGCTTCCCCCCCTTCTCTGCCTGCCTCTCTGCCTAGTTGTCATCTCTGTCAAATAAATAAATAAAATCTTAAAAAAAACAAAACAAACACAAAAAAGCCCTACCTATATTTCTTTTCCTTTTACCAATTTATCAACACAGTAGAAGGCTCAAAACTAAATGACGTGCCATTAAATCTGCTGGCCCTGGACTCCACAGTTGGGAGGTTCCTCGCTTGTCTTAGAGGGATAAGAGTGTGAGCGTTAGAGGGTAAAGAGCAAAGTCACAGATCAAGACTGGTGAAAAATAACACTGTTATCACTGGGTTATCTTATCTACCTAAGATGCTGCAGGTCTGGCTGTGCCCTGAGGAGTAGTGCGGCTGGAGCCACAGCTGCGGAGCTAAGTGTCCTCCATACACCGACTCTCGCAAACAACTCACCTCCCATTTGGCAGGTATCCCACCAGAGTCGTGCCTACCACCAGAAGGCTAATCCCAGTAAAAGCAAGAGCTATCCTGTAAGAAGAAGACACGTGAAAACACAGCAAACAAACCCTTGCACTACTGACAGACTGGAATGTGTGACAAAGTGGACATCACGAAAACCACCCCCAAGACCATCAGATCACCTAGGATCCAGGTAAGAGTTTCATCTAGAAATGAGAGCAGGCCTAGCATACCCAGATATCATTTTAATTCTAAACTGACAGTAGGCTATGGATTTGGCTCTCAGCAGACGCTATCTCCCCCAACATCAGGCAGCCAGAAGGATGGAAAAGCCTGCTGTTGGCCGCTCTGCCCCCAGGCACCTGCTGTCCTGCTGTCTTACCCTTCCCTTTGGCTCCACACCCTGGCGAAAGCAGAGCTTCTCTGTGGAGCAACAGGAAGTAGAGCCTGAAGGTACCGGCAGCCGGCAAGGCATACTCAGAATAGCACATGGTACAGAAAACCTGAGAGTTCAATATTGCCTCTGTATTAGAGAGGCAAGCTTGCAGGAGAGACTTGGTCATGTCCAGGGAGAAGTGGCCAGAAAGTACACCATGTTCCCTGTCCCTGTGTTTAGGCCACCTAGACAAGCATTTTAAGAAACCCCACGATTTCTGTCTGATTTGCAGAGAATCCAAGGGCCTTTAAAAGATCACCCCCAGTGTACCCTTCCAAGAGTCGGATGGTCTCCCTCCCAAGAGACTGGCCAGTGACAGAATCAAACTCTGCTCCTTTCTGAAGGGGGAAAGCAAAGCAGAGTGACACAGGGAGGTCAGCCACACCTTGGGCTTAGGCAGCAGCCGCTCAAGCCTTTTGTCCCCGTTAGGCCTGCCCTCACCTGAGTGGCAGAAGGAAGCAATAGCGAATCAGCACTCCTAAGCCCCACAAGACAGTGAGCCGAAGGCTGATGTACTGGAAGTTATAGTTGGTCCTGCTCAGCAGGTTCCAGGACTCCAACTCCTCTGCTGAGAACCTCTTTGTCACCTCATCATCCATGATGGTCTCCATTCCCTTCCGGCAAAAGTAGAAAATGTCGGAAAGCTCAAACTCTGGAGTGTTATCCAGAGCCTTACTACTACCACTTCGACGGATTTCTTTGATCTCTTCTTCTAGCGAAGTGGGATCTTTTGCAATGATTCCTGTAACAGAGAACACCCGTGTCAAGCAGCATGCTGGGAGGAAGCATGTTAAAAATATTCAGAGTCCAGGGGCACCTGGTGGCTCCGTGAGTTAAGCAGCCAACTCTTTGGTTTCAGCTCAGGTTACGATTTCAGGATCCCTCGTCAGTCTCTGTGCTCAACATGGAGTCTGCTTGTCCCTCTCCCTCTGGTCCTCCCCCTGCTCACACTCTGTCTCTCAAGTAAATAAATAAATAAATGAGTAAAAGTCTCTAAAATATACAGAGTCCATATACTCCCTTTGATAGAGTGAAGAGTATGTGTGGAATTAAAAGCACTTAGGAACATATGTCAAAGGGACTTTGTGAGATAAGGAGAAAGAGCCAGTCCTACCATTGGTATAGGGCTTGTAAAGTTGGTGATTCTTCTCCTTGGCGCCTCTCTCCATCCTCAAGGTGGCCCACTGTAGGGAGAAATGACAACACAGAGAATGAGATCCTTCTTCATACAGCAACTGACTCCATATCCGTTCTGGGAAAGCCTCAATCCCAGTCACCTGAGATCACACTGTAGCTGAGAAAGCACCCACTCTAAAAGGAAAGTCAAAGCTTCTCCTTCTAGAGCCATCTCCCTCCCTTGATGACAAGGAACAGAAGATGAGTCACCTACAGTAGAGGCCTGGAGATTCGAGAAGCTTGGGTAAATTTCTCAGGCCTAGGTTCTCTCCGCCTACATCTGTCTTCAGGGCACCTAAGGAGTCCACAGGCTGGCAGCACACAGACCTCTAGTGTTTCTCTCCCTGCTGAACAGCAGCTGTTCTCAAACAGCAGAACCAAGCATCCTTTAAGCAACCGCCCACCACCTGACGCTGCCTACCTCCCCAATTACTCCTGAAGCAACAATTTAAATAATATTTATGTCTAAACTGTCCATCCAGCTCTGAGCAGCCTTGTAATAGAAGGACCCCCCCACCTGATACAGAAGGGCTTAGTGTTAAACAAAAATACACAAAAACACCATTTGGAGATTCAAAACAAACAAACAAAAAATCTAATTGGACACTAATACTAAGTCCCTTAAGCAACTCATCCCAACTCATCTTTTCTATCTATAAAATAGGACTGATAGTATGTCAACCTCCTGCTTCATGGGGTCGCTTAAGATCAAATGAGACCATATATGTGACAGAACTTGGGAAACTGCAAAACGCCCTAACTGTCCTCACTGTGACTGAAATAATGATGGCCTCTACAAGACATCTAGAAAAGAAGCCTAGCTGCAGTAAGCGAGCCAGGGCCTCACCCACTACCCCGTAAGTACAGGTGAAAACGCGCTCGCTTATCCCTAACTGGGGTATGTTATCACCGTATAGAGAGTGAAGTCCATGGCAAGTCGAAGGAACAGATATTTTAAAAGGCATCTTTTTAAACTTGTTTCTACAGTTATGCAAGGTGAGAGAGAACCCTGTCATCCCGTGACGCAGCAAAACCCACACAGCCCTAAGCATTTGGTGTATACTCTGCTGGCAGAGCCTCAAGTATCAGCAGATGGCTCTGGGTGGTCCGGCAGAGCCAAAAGCAGGATGTGAGTTTTTCATCAGTGATCTGACCTCATCTGGAAATTTCTTCACACAACACCACTGTCTAGAAAAAACACAGCTTAGAGTCACTCGCTCAGAAGGGGTCTAAGGCAAGAAAACCCACAGACCATTTTCTATACTTCAGATATTTAGCGCTGATTTTTCTGGCTCTACGCATGGATGATCTCTTCTAGAAGAAAATGTAAACAAAACTCCTACAATGGAGGAAGGTAGACTCCACCTGGGAATTCCATCTAGGGAAGAGGTGAACTGGTGACCAGGGACAAGAGGATCTAGCAAGGCTGACATATAGACAGGCCTCTCAGCTGGAGTTTGTGGGTTTCCACTCTGGCCAAGTCTGCAACCACAGTCAGAACCAGAAAAACCCGGTTCCGTACTGACAATTCTGAAACTCGGAGGAGGCTGCCATATATGACATCCAGCCTCTGAGCACTAGAATTGAAGTCTGTGAGGACTGCTTCACTCTGCAAAACTCAAGATGGCTGTGGTGTTTGACCTGGAAAGGTATAGATTAAATGAGCCCCTCCATCTCCTAGCTCTATCACAGAGCTGTCACCAACATTGCCTTACCCTCCCTTTTTCACACTTCAGGTATGTTACAAAATGCTTCTGTGTTTAGGAGAGAAGTGCCCAGTCACAGGGCTGGAGGGACCTGGCTGTTAGCTGGGAAGAGCCTGTTCAGGAGGAGAGGCTGATGGGTGAACCGGAAAGCTGTGGCCCGATGCAGAAGACCGAAGGAAAGGGGTGCCGCCCATGAGCAGTGTCTGGTAACTCCACAGCCGGCTTCTCTGAGTACTCACTTGCAGAGCTATAGCGTTCAGACATGCAGAACAAAACTGAGAAGCCTAGGTTCAGAGCTCATTCCTATAAACCTCCTCTCCTCCCCCTGACGTGAGATGCCATTTACCGAGCTACTGAGCATCAGATTACTCAATTACTCCAGTCTCAGCCTCTCCCAGGCAGAGAAGAGACCATTTAAGGGCATTAACAATGCTGCACTCTTAGGTAACATCAAAGCCAAGGCAGACCTTGGCAGGTGAAAGGCAGGCCCAGCTCCCAGAAAGGCAGAGGGTGCAATGGTATACTTTTGCTAGTTATTCATTCAACTGAACACTACAATTTAGGAATTAACCACAAGTCACAGACTTCGCAACCTAATATCAGCAGAATCCACCTCTTTTTCAGTCAGCCCCGCTACACTGTCCCATGAACTAACCATATATATCCCAAAGAGCAAGACCCTTAGAAAATTCAGGCTCACATCATCCAGCACGTCTAGTCCCCTGCAAACACCACCTCTTTTAACAACTCTCTCTTCTCTCCCTGCTTCAGCTGTAACCTCTAAGTAGCTACTAGCAAATGTGCAAATCTTTACTTCACTGAAGTGCCAACTGCACACTCCCGATCGCCCGCTGGGCATCTCCCCATGCAAGTCCAACCAGCCCTCACGAGCATGCTGCAAATTAAAGACAGCACACCTCCTCCCAACCCCGAAAGTGCTCCCCTCCCTCTGGCCCACCTCCTGGGGCCAGTGGGATCACTATCCCTCTGGTCATCCAAAATTTCGAGTTTCCCATCTGTCACCATCCTATCGATCCTGCCCTGAAAAGGCACTCTTTCCCAGCTGCCTCCTGGGCGATGGCATCACGTTCGCCCCCTAGCTTATTCTCTTGCCTGTATCAATGCCATGGCACTTCAATGGCTCTTTCCTCCCTTCAAGCCACCAGACACATGCTGCCAGTCTGATCATGTCACTTCCTTGCTCAAAAACCTTCAATGGCTTTTCAATGCCTAGAGAAACATTTGCTTTTATAATTGACCTCACCCTTCTATGCACCCAATGTTCTTGCTCCACTAAGCTACGTACAGTCTCTAAGCCTCTAATTAAGTAAATCCCTAATTAAAGTAAGTCTCTGAAGTACAGTCTCTAAGTAAGACTGTACTTTCTTATCTGCACTTAAAAAGGAAAAGAATGGCTTTTCCTTTTTAAGATTCCAGTTCAAATGCCAACTCTGCTATGAAACGTCACCTACCCGATTCCTGTGGCGCTCGTCCTTCCCAGTGTATATGAATTAGCATCCAACTGTGAATTAGTTATGTATGCGTATACTTGTCTTTCTCACTAGACTGTAAAACCTGAGGAACAGGAGCCAGAAGCAACCTGTGTTCTCACTCCAGCAATCTGATAGAGGGTCTTGCACTTAGTAGGCTGTCGCTAAGGGCTGCCTTGAACTCCCAGTGTTTCTCTCCATCAAGGTCTCCATGTGAAAAGATAAGAGCGGAAAGGATACAACCTACAACTACTTCCCATCACCTTCCCTGCCAGAGTCACACTCTCACCTTCTTCAGTTCATCCTCTGAGCTCATCAGGGTTATGTCAAAGTCAACCCTTTTCACTGGGGTAGGGAGGACATGCCTGATTGACAGGACTGCTTTCACTAGAAGCATATGAAGCAGGGGTTATGGCTTCTACTCTGCAGATGAAGCAGCACATGGGAAGTCTAACGACTTAGGTCAAGTTTCAGAGCTCATCAAAGAGCCCTGGATTTCAAGCTAAGGGCCACTAACTCAAAAACTCATGCCCATCCCACTACACACTCCCACTGTACAGTCCTCTTCAATTTCCTCACAACCACCACTGGCTTTCTAGGACTCTCCATCAGTCACTTCCGCTCTAGAGTCTCATGTTTACAATTGCTGTAATGTTTACAATGGTCTCTGACCTGACCTGATCAAGCCCTTGCCCATGAGGCAAAATCACCCAGGTCATTTCTTTCCATCTCTCTGCTTCCAGGCTTCCTATTTTCTCCCTCTCCAAACCATTCTCAAATCAATGGAAAGCCACTTCCAGGACTTGTACCCCAATAATACCATCATTACTATATTGAGGGTAAATATGAAGCACCAACATTAAGAAAACAACACTTGTAAAGAACACTGTTGCGCTCTGCGCACAAAAACCTTCTGCAACTCAGCACCAGACAGGACCTACACTCAGTCGACTAAGTCTTCCAGGACAGGGAACCGAGAAGACAGTGACCCACCTACCTTCTCCCCTTGGCAGGGATACCGGGATTCATTTTTATACAAGGATGCGCTGATTATGGGAAACTAGCTGTTAAGCCAGGGCTTGCTTAGTTCTGCCAAAAGCACAAGTCCAGGTACTGCATGGACCAATAGGATATGCATTATGAAGATTACTTATTAAAAATGGCCAATAAAATCCCAAAAGAAAATACAGATACAAAATTAGATATACACACTATTAACATAACCACTAAAAATGAATGCAGTTGTCAAATACTGAAAGGTAATACATGTACAAGAATGTTAAGGTATTAGAAGCTATGTAAACATGAATGAATGTTTAAAATTCTTTAACATTATATTATTTGTCTGGTTCTCTATTGTTACATAACAAACTACCCCCTAGCTCAGAGGCCTAAAACACCACCACCACTTATTTTGCTCATGAAACTGCAAACTGCATGAAGTTTGCCATCGGCTAGGTGGCTGGAAGACCAAGGACTGGGGTCCTCTGCAGACTGCTCGCTCCTGCATGGAGCACTCGATGTTGGCTGTCAGGGCCTTCCTGGGGCTGTGAGTTGGAATACGGAACACGTGGCCTGGGCTTCCTCACAACACGGGGGCTGGGTGCCAGGGGCAAGCACCCCAACAGGCAGAAGTTATACTGCCATTTCTAACCTAATCTCCCCTATTACACAGTATAATTCATGTCCACTACGTTCTGTTTGTTAGAATCAAGTCAAAAGGCAGGACCCCCTATTCAAGAGGAAGTCAGTCAGACTCCACCTTTTGATGGCAGACCTCAGAATCACCTGGGGAGTTTTAAAAATATACCCATCTAGACCAATTAAGTTAGGATATCTGGGGAGATTCTACTGTTCCCAAATACTTTAAAATGCTTCCCCAGGTAATTCATATGCAGTGGGGGGTATATCCACAGAATTAAGGTGCTCTCTGAGCTTTCCTCCAGCTCCAAAATTATACATAGCAGTCTGATTTAGGAAGGATAAAGAGGCTAAAAAAGGTAAAATAAGTCTATTAAAAACACCCACATATGTAGAAGTAAAATGCTTGACAATAATAATTCAAAGGATAGTAAAGGAAATGGAATTAATATTGCTACAATTTAAAACAAAACAAAACAGGACAAAAAACACCCACAAGTGGGGCTCCTGGGTGGCTCAGTTGGTTGAGCGTCTGCTTTCAGCTCAGGTCCATGATACCAGGCTCCCGGGACTGAGTTGATTGGGCTCCTTGCTCAGCAGGGAGGTACCTGTTTCTCCCCCTGCCTGACACTCTTCCTGCTTGTGCTCTTTCTGACAGATAAATAAAATCTTCTAAAAAAAATTAAAATAAGGGGCGCCTGGGTGGCTCAGTTCTTAAGCGTCTGCCTTTGGCTCACATCATGATCCCAGGGTTCTGGGAATGAGCCCCACATGGGGCTACCTGCTCCGCAGGAAGCCTGCTTCTCCCTCTCCCACTCCCCCTGCTTGTATTCCCTCCCTTGCTGTCTCTAATAAATAAATAAAATATTTTAAAAAAAACCTTAAAAAAAATAAAATAAAACCAGTTTGGCCAAATCCAACTTGAGTCTAATACTAATCCTGCTAGCATTCAGTTCTTAACTGTCCATTAAGGTCAACTCAGAACAGTAACAGAGTCAGAAAAGACCAGACATTCCTGCAGAGCCACCTATAACCTTGCTGGAATGGTATCAGTCCTTTCTAGCCCACCGCCGACTCTAGCTTATATGCCAAGTTGTAATTATCCATGCAGCTCAACAGGACAGCACCCAGAGTACCCAGAATCCTTTCAGTGCCTGATATACACATCTCTAGGAAATAGAAGTACAAATCCAGTTCTTGAAATCCTAAATCTTGAGGTCAAAAATGGGTACATACATAAATAGACACACATATGCCAAAATCACTTCTAAATCAATGTGCCTTAAACTAGCGATTTTCGAGACGTGATCAGCAAAGAAAATTCTCTGATGGCCCAAGATTACCTACCCCATGGATCGACCCAACCATACATATTTAATGAATTTCAGCTATGTAATTATAATCTATATTAAATGTTACAAAAATATACATTTAGAAATACAGTCATAATTAGAAGGATTTTAGTTGACTGAACTTTAAAATATTAACTTGAGGAGACATATTCAAAACAGAATAGAGAATATACATGGATGCTAGGCCTTCTGTGGCCCAAAGTGATGCAAGTTAGAAAATTTTAGCTACTGCGGAATAACTCAAAGGCTAATGCTATGATTTCTATGTTTTAAAAATAAAGATTTCCATAGATCTGTGAGTTAGCCACTTGCTTCTTAACTTGAATGAAAGCTAGCCATCACTCAATGTTGTCTCCTGAAAAGTTTACCAGCTGTTCTACTTCCCCTCTACTGGTTTTTCACAGTGGGCAAAAGGGCCACAGTGGCAAAACGAGTATTAAGTTATATGGCCCACAGGAATCCTGGGCTCTAATAAAGATTTTCTTGGACTGAAATATAAGAAAATCACATTTCCTAATTAAAATAAATACTACACATAAGCAAAGTAGTGGGTCCAAAGACCGACTAGGTCACCACTTCTCAAACTTCAGCGTGCACATCCATCACCTGGATCTTGCAGAAATGCAGATTCTAATTTAGCAGGTGTGGAGTGGGCCTGAGACTTCCATTTCTAACCTGCTCTTAGGTGAAACTCAAGCTGCTGGCATCCATACTACTTTCCAAGAAGCAAGTAACTAGATAACCTCAGAGACCATCTGCAGGGCTCAAAAATCATACAATCGGAAACAGGTACTCAGACACAAACACGTACACTCTAGCAGCACTACTGACAACAGCCAGAAGGTACAAACAGGCCCAGCCACCTCCCCTCGTACAGGAATGGATAAACAAACCATGGTACAGAAACACAGTGGAATATTATTCAGCCATTAAAAAAGCAGAAGTACTGGAATACATCATAATGTGGATGAATCTCAAAAAGACGCTAACTGGAAGAAGGCAACCACAAGAGAGCACATCTGCTAGAACTCCACGAATACAGACTGTCCAGCACAGGCAAATCCGGAGCTGGAACATAAACTCATGGTGGCTGGAGCAGGGGACAATGGAGGACAGCTGCTTCATGGGTGTGGGGTTTCCCCGGCAGAGATGAAAGTGTCAGGGAACTCAGCAGAGGTAATGGCTGTACAACACTGTGAATGTAATAAATGCCACTCTTACATGTGACAAAAACATTCTTACAGGAATGTTAAATACCAAAACCCAATATTAATTAAACCCAATAAAAAACAGTTCCCACTATAAAGTAACATTTCTAGAGCTCACTTAATCATTCAGAGTCTCTGTTTTCTCACTGACAAAATGTAGATACCCTGTCCACTGAAGAATTATAAGGAACCAAAGGAAAATGAATGAATTTATTCTGAACCATAAGATACTATATGAACAAATAACTTCTTAAATTTTTTGTTTTCTCAAATTATATATGGTCTCAGCTATGAAGAAGAATACCTGAGGATTTGGTGACTACTGAAAACAGATACTGCTAATAAAGTACCAACTTTCTAGATAGATATTAAAAGTCCTGTGGCGGGGCGCCTGGGTGGCTCAGTGGGTTAAAGCCTCTGCCTTCGGCTCAGGTCATGATCTCAGGGTCCTGGGATCGAGCCCCACATCGGGCTCTCTACTCAGTGGGGAGCCTGCTTCCTCCTGTCTCTCTGTCTACTTGTGGTCTCTGTCTGTCAAATAAATAAATAAAAATCTTAAAAAAAATAAAATAAAAAAAAAAATAAAAGTCCTGTGGCAAAGATCAACTTCCAGAAATAGTTCCTTTATACTGTGGACTGTTTTGTTCAGGGTATCATTAGCTACTTCTGACAAATGTTAAGAAGTTGACTGTCCTTCTCCTGTATCTTTAAGAAAATCAAACAATTCATTAAATGCCCTGCCCCGTTATCTTTCATTTGAAATGCAAGAACCTATTTAAGATATTTAAGTCTAAAAAGAGAAAAAAGTCTCTCCCAAACCTATTAGTGAGGGAATACATGAGCAGCAGCTCTGTGTTTCATTATCTGCTACATAAGATAAGGCAGAGTCTGGCAGTGATTTTTTCTTAAATGCTAAGCCCTCTCTTTGAAGGTATGGAGTTATGGAATTTTGCTTGGAAGAATCGAGCATACATACAAGTACCTTAGCTTGGAAAGAAAAGGTCTGTTAAATGCTTTCACAGGTACACATTTAGGGACGTTTTTACTAAAAATGCTACTTGCCACTCTCCCAAATTTCTCTGTATGCAATGAAGAGATAATCTTCCAAATAAGAAAAAAACTTTACTGGGGCGCCTGGGTGGCTCAGTCCATTAAGCATCTACTCTGGCTCAGGTCATGATCCCAGAGTCCTGGGATCGAGCCCCACATTGCGGGGGAGGGGGTCCCTGCTCAGCGGTGAGTCTGCTTCTCCCTCTCCCTCTGCCTGCTGCTCTGCCTACTTGTGCCTCTTTCTCTCCGTCAAAAAGATAAATAAATAACCTTAAAGAAAAAAAAGAAAAGAAAAACTCTTTACTAATAACAGCATTTCTCCCCTCCTCCGTGAGGCAACCATTTGTAAATAGTACAACTTACCGCAAAGATTTTTAACAAAGTTTTCATGTAGAGCTTTCGGATGCCAAAGGAGACTCCAAAAATGGCAGGGACTATGATGAAAACAAGGAGGAGGGTGAAGAGGACAGTCAGGGAGATGCCCAGAAGGTTGACAATCAGGCTATCAAAAGGCAGCAACAGGAACATGGTGGAGGATCCAGGCAAGGCCAGTGCCCACCCCCAAGAACAAACCACCGTCTTCAGACAGCACCGGCCTGGGAAAGAAAGCGAGTCCCCATAGGATAGCAAACCCCGTTCCAAGTCACATTATTCGACTGCCTGCTGCAGGCAGAAGGACAGTAAAAAGGGCCACAGGAGGCAGCCCGAAAATGCCAGCTCTCCCCAGAACTGATGGACTTTGGAAGTGAATGAGGCAGGACCAATCTTCAGTACAAGCATCCGAGTCCAGGCAGAGTTTCTGTGAAAGTGAGTAGTAAGGGAGGGACCTCTGCTTTGCTACTTTCCGCTCCTTCCAGAAGTTTTACTTTTTCTTTCCTGCTCAAGAGCATTTAACAGATAAATCTGTCCTGAAGATCTGTCATTGCCAGAAGTACCAAGAAGAGTTCAACTTGGTGCCAGAACAATCCTGATAACTTTTGTGGGGGGGGGGGTGACTGCTGGCTCTTCACACAGAAGGCTACTGAACTTGAATATGTGGAAATTAAATAATTGTTTTACTTAAAACTCCTTCATAAGCTGAGAACTGTGTTCATTGTAGAGAGTTCACATCTGGCCCCATTCTTCCTCTCAAGAGGCTCCTGGTGCGTGCTGCTTCCAGGACCCTCCAACTGGGAGAGCTACAGTCTTTGCCAGCAGGACACAGATGCTGGCACAGAATGTCTCATGCTGCCTGAGTTGAGTGTAACTCCAGACGTGTCTGGCATTGGTTTCCTCTGGATATTCTTCTCCCTAAGGCCCCCTTCTCAGCGGTGACCTGGGTTCTTGGCAAGAAGTTGCTTACATGCTGCCAAAGCTGGGGGTGGAAACAGAAACACCATCAGTCACACAAATCAAGAGGAGAAACATCAATATGCTTTGGAGGTGGGGGGGGGCTGTTGTAGAGTAAGCCTAGAGTCAGTGCCAGCTTCTTGAGTCATCAAGGTCAAAGGGAGCAGGCACAGCAACAGGTGGCAGACACAAATGCAGAAAGCAAATGGAGAGGTTTCATATGGCTTTCAATTCCAACAAATAATCTGTGGCCAACTTTCTGAAGAGAAAATATATGGATATATGCCACATTTTAGAAGTCTGGACAAAAAATCCACCATGTATGGATATACACCACGTTTCATTTATACTACAGAAGGAGACCGCCCTCCTACTTGTCCTCAGCTCCCCAGGGTCCTCGTCTGCAGACGCAACCATGTTACCAGCTTCATATTCTTCCCAAGGTATTCTGTGCTGAGGAGGAAATCATAACTTCCTTTTCTGCTTACCCCTCACCCTGACAATAATGATGCCATATTCTGCACACTGTTCTTCAACTCGTGTTTCGGTTTGTGTCTTCAGCTTACTGTGTCTTGGACGAATACGCCATCAGCACAGGCAGGGCTCCCTCACTCTCTCCAGGTGCACAGTTCTCAACTTTAAGACTATATATACCAGAGGGGCATGTGGGTGGCTCAGTCAGTTAAGTGGCCAACTCCTGGTTTCGGCTCAGGTTGTGATCTTAGGGTCGTGGGACTGAACCTTGCGACAGGGTTGACGCTTAGCAGGGATTCTGCTTAACAGTCTCTCTCCCTCTGACCCTCCCCATTTGCATGCATGCCTGAACTCTACTCTCTCTCCAACAAATTAATTAAACAAAAAAAAAAAGAAAGAAAGGAAGGAAGAAAGACTGTACCATAAGTCAGTTAACTGGTTTCCTGAGGTTGGACACCAATGTTTCCACTTTTTTGTTATTTAAGTAATGTAATGAACAACCCTGTGCATACGTGATAGCATACAAAATGCACATGGAAATATAAATATATTTTCAGGATAAATTCCTAGAAATGGAATTGCAGGGGAAAAGGAAACACAGTTATAATTTTATAAGATATTATCTCATTTTCTACATGTAGATTAAACTACAGCTGTCTATCTCCCACACTGGTCGCTCTTTTTTGTTTTAAAGACTATTTTCCTTAGAACAGTTTGGGGTTCACAGCAAAACTAAAAGGAAGATAGATTTCCCACATACCCCCATCCCTAACATGACTAACATATGTACAGTCACCCCATTATCAAGAGCCCCACCAGAAGGGTACATTTGTTACAAGTGCTGACAAACCTACACTGACACATCAGAGTCACCCAAAGTCCACAGCTTACATCAGGGCTCACCCTTGGTGCTGCACATTTTAGAAGTCTGGACAAAAGTATAATGACATGTATCCACCATGATAGTATCATTTAGTATTTTCACTGCCCTAAAAATCCCCTGGGCTCTGATTATTCATTCCCCCCTTTCCTGAGGCCCTACCCTGGCCACCACTGCTCTTTTACTGTCTGGGTAGTTTTGCCTTTTCCCGAATGTCTTATAATTGGAGTTGTATTTTCAGATTGGCTTTTTCCACTTAATACAGCCACTTATGAACTCCAGTATTTTAAATATCTTACAAAAGCATTTCAATTTTATATTACTTATCCTTAACCACAAGTTACTTATCCTTAACCACAAGTTACCAATGCAAGTCCTGCACTTGGGAAAGTCCTTTCAAATCTCTGGCAAACACTGCGGCTTCACACCAATCATCTTCTGGCTCAGTTCCTACACATTCAAAAGGTCAAGAAATTGAACAAATAAGCAGGTTACTACCATTACCTTAAATTTTGTCCAGTGACTTTTTAGAACTCTTAGAGCCCTTTCATAGCTTCTTTTATAACCTGCCAACGGTATTATTTCCATTTTACCAATTAGAAAATGAAGGCAGAGAGAGATAGATCTAGTTCTTCAGACTCCTAACCCAGTACTGCTCCCATTACATTCCCACACATTTAATGATTAAATCCAAAGGACAAGGTATTTCGTGGCACTGAGTCACCAACAGTAGTTCCTATTTTGGATCCTCCAGTTCTTCCATATTCACACGGTCATCACCACTGCTAACTTTTACTGCATGCTAACAACATAACAGCGCCTGAGCTCACATGGCAAACATTTTCCATATCTGACCCTTACCTAAGTCTCACAACCCTATGGTGGAGTTTTACTACCACTGCTATCTGACACAGCACGAAACTGAGGCTTAGAGGATTAAGTACGTTATCCAGAATGACACAGCTACCAAGTAGCAGAGCAGGAATCTGGAGCAGGGGATCTGTCTCTCAGCCCATGCTCTTTAACCAGTATGCCCTCCTAGCTCCCAAACTACCCTGGAATAAATGAACACTTCCTTTGTGCCAGGCCTGCTCTACAGAACTTTCTGTGGTCAGGGAAAAACCACAAGGCCAATCTGGATTCACGTATCAGAATTTGGTGTTCTCAGAATCCCAGGTACAAACCTGCTCTTTTCTATAAACTGGCCAAACTGACTTCACATGCCAGATTTCTAACAACAACCCAGCAGAGGTTGAGGAAATTAGAAATATTCCTGATTAATTTGCTGAGTCACTGTATTCTTTAAACCTAATTCCTGCCTAATTCTAGGGCCACATCTCTTCCACTCTTCGGTCCCTGTCTCCCTCGTCCAGCATTCCCCTGGGAAAGCAGCAGCAAAATCCCTCCGTCCCACTAGCCATGGTTACCCTGAGTTTCATGGACACAAGGTGACAGACACTGGGGTCACTGTGACTTCCCATCCAAGAGTTTAGATCTCTTTTCTTTGAGTCACAATCAACTGACAATTCCCAAGGTTATTCTTGGTTCATGTCCCCAAACATTAAACACATTTAGCAATAAACTAATTTCTTCACTTAGTTCAGGGGTTGGAGAACCAGGGCCTGTGGGCCAAATCTGGCTTTGGCCTGTTTTTCTAAGACTCGCAAGCTAGGAATGGTTTTTATATCCTCAAAGAATTGTAAAAAAACAAAGAATAATTTGTGACAGAGACCACGGCCAGCAAAGCCTAAAATACTTACTATCTGACCCTACAGTTTGCCAACCCATGACCCAGCCACTCTTTTCTCCCTAACCCAGGGGCACTGAACTGCCCTCTACCGTCCTGCCCCACCCCTTGAGTTCATGTTTGTGAGTGCCAGACTCCAGAACAAAGAGAACAGTCACCTAGCCAAACAAGTTATCTGGCCAACACTGAACAATCCTCACATAAATTCTTAGAAGTAAAGAGAAAAAGCAAGCAAACTGCAGTTATCAAACAGAGTTCCCAACATCTTGCTGGATTAGCAGAGCAGCCACTGAAACCAGAAGACTGCTGTCTTAGGCCCCCTTAACACAAACTTTGATATCTGGAAATAATATCAGAAAATTAGTCATGGCAGAGCTCTACCACACCACAATGTCCAGATAATTGTGGTTAAATTATCTGGATAATTTCACTTAGGAGAATAATCTCACTTAGGAAAGGATATCCCTTTGCTTCAACTAAATATAACTATGACTCCATAACCATGAGGTAGTATTTGCTCATTTCTCTTAATTTCCACAGCTTTCAGCCAAACTCACAGAAAGTTATTTGCACCAAAGTACCCCTAACAGCCCAAAGGGTCCAGAGAAAAACCTAGAACCAAGTAGTTATGAGCCTCTTAGAAGACACAACCCACCACTAGCTAAACTCTTTAGCCCACTGAATGCAAATGGGGCCTTTAGGCTTTAGGCCCCCAAATGACCCAATTTCCAGTGTTCCTCAGTTCTCAGAGTGACAAGTTCATTCATTCAACATATATTCACTGGGCACATAGTATATGTCACACATTAGGTCAGGTGGTATTTAGAGGTGAACAAATATGCCTAGAGACAGGTGTTAAGCAAATAAGCATATGCAAAATTTCACACTTTGATGATTGTTAGCAAGAAAAAGAGGATCCTGGAAGAGAAAATAACAGAGGGAACTTCATTTATATCAGCTCATTTAAACCAGTTCTGACCCAATCACAAGACAAGGACTATTACGATTCTAACTACAGAACCAAATACAGCTGGCCCTTGAACAGCAATACAGGTCTGAATTGTGCAGGTCCACTTACATATGGATTTTTTGTTAAAATATAGTGCCATAAATGTATTTTCTCTTCCTTGTGATTTTTTTTAAAAGATTTT